AATATGTTCAACTCCCATTCATATTAAGATAAATGCAAATTAAACTGCACACTGATTCACCCAGTGAGTTGGCAAAGATCAAAATGTTTGATAATACTTGCCCAGGGTAAGAAGAACATGCTCTTGACCGGGTATTGAGTGAGAGACCCTTCTAAGCATGGGCTGATGCTCTAACCACTGATTAGAGCATAAATTGTTACAATCTCCATGAAAGGAAATGTGTATCAGAATGGATAAGAAATGCATATACCCTTTGATCCAACAATTCCACTTCTAGAAATTTATCCTACTGATACATTTAATATGATAAGTATATAATGTTTTTCACTATAACACTTATTTATAATCACAAAATAATGGAAATAACCTAAAGTCCATCAATAGGGGATGATTAAATTATGATACAGATAGACAATGTAATAAGTACTGCTTAAAAAAAGGAATGAGGAAGCTCTTTCTAAAGAGGCAAAAATATTTGTTTTAATATACATATTAAAGATAGATATATGCCTGTAAAGCTAGGGATACTGGTTACTTTCAAGGAAGGAAACTGGATACTTGGTTGGGAAGGAGAATTTCCACTGTATTCCCTTTTGTGCTTTCTGAATTTTGAACTATGTGACCATATTACCTTTTCAAATAATAAATAAACAAAATTTTAAAGGAATAAGCAGCATTTACAAATAATTTTTCTAAGTTATGAGATGGCTTATAAATCTGACCCTTATGAGAGACAAGACAGGAATTCTTCGGTGGCTTCCACTGCTATCCGAATAAAATCTACCTTTTGTCATCACAGCCAAGGCCTCAGTGAACCTCCCTGACCTCATCTAACACCCTTCTCAATCACCATGTCAATCACTCACTCAGACCTTTAATTCTATTTTGTGAACACATCAGGCTCTTTCCTCCACCTGGGAAGCTCTTTCTTCCCTCAGTTCTTTTCATAGCTGGCTCCTTAGATATTCTATCAAATGTAATATCCTCAGAGAGGTATTCTCTGACCACCCGATCTAAAGCCCACTTCTACTCCACTCCTTTCTTCATATTACCCTATTTTATTTTCTTCATTACCACCATCTGAAATTATCTTGTTTTAATTTTCTTATTTGTCTATTGTCTTTCCCACTAGAAGTTAAGTTCAATGAGAGAAGAGAATCCCCCTGTGCCTAATGGTATAAATAGGTACTCAATAAACATTTGTTCAATGAAATTGTTGAATAGACTGTCTTTTGAAATCATATTTTTCCTTAATGAGCTCCAGCTAAAATGTTAAAGTTTGGGAGCTGCTGAATGAATAACAGCATAGGAAGCCCAGGCATACTTTTAAAACAATGGAACATTAAACAAAGAAAATTATCAGTTCATCTCACGTCAATTTTAAAGAATTCATTCAATACATTCCAAAACTACATTCTTTGATTAAAAAAAAAATCCAAGAAAACCTGGGAGAAAAGGGAAGCCTGCAGAGCTAAGTGAAAATTTCCTGAACTCTTAAGACAACAGTAATAAACACATTTTCCAGGATAAGTCAATCCCGGTTATAGAACATACCATTACAGCAATTGTCAGGAATTCAGGCTAGACCTCTAAGTTATTTCAAGTTAAATTCTATAAAATAAAATTCCAATATATTGATAAAATGAGGCAGATCTTTAGCATTTACTTAGATTTGACCTATAATTTTCATACTGTCTGACATGGGGCTTGATTCCCTTAAAATTGACATGTAGAGAAAAGATAATTAACATTAAATACACACATACACATATCTTTAAAACATGTCTAGATACATAACTAAATTTTTTCTATATCAGGCTAAGATGTAGAACATATTTTCTGCCATAGCCAAATATTTATTAAGAGTTGAATTGTTCTTGCAACTGTTGTATATAAGGAAAACTCAGAAACAAGTATAGTATTATGTATGCATGTCAGCGCCTTTAAAGTCTTCCCGGTTTACAGATATCTCTTAGGCAAGCATAGACTCTAAAATAATTATGAGAATTAGATAAGCTTTCGTACATGAAATGGTTACTTTTCCTTCTTCTCCTCAATCTAAGTGTTATAAGATAGAGTTTTATGGACTAGCCTGGCTAGTAAGGTTCATCCAAAGTCAGGATGAACAAGAAGGTACATGAATCTCAAGTCATGGAAAGCAGTGGGATAACTAACAAAATGCTCTCACTGACTCCCATACCTCAGTGTGTGCTGGCTGTTCACAGACTTACTGCCTTTTTCTACAGGTTATAAATAACTACAAAGTGTCCTTGTCCCCAAGGAGACCTTAGCAGCCAGCTCAAAGGTTAAAATATGGAATAATTCTCACTTTGGATGCAACTTTTCCAGATAACAAAATAATCAAAGAGCAGAAAAATGTATTGCTAATTTAAGGGCTGGGGAATCATTCCCTTCCACTGAAAACTATCTGTCCATTACGTAAGAGTTGTTGACATAGACATATTAGCCTAATTCCCTACCCCAAAAATACTTCCAGGGAGAATGCAATGCTTGCTCTGCTCCACATGCAGAGGTCTACTGGAAAGAGACAGGCAGATGCCACTCAATAGCCTTGTAGAATTGCATCTCCTTAGACCTTAAAAAGACTTTTTGAGTTTTGTTTTTGCTTTTAATTTAGACACAAATGGCTACTGAGCTAAATACATCTACAAAACAACACTGGGGGGAAAAATGCTGTCTCCACTTGGATGGAGGATACAGCAGAATAAACCATGGCTACAACAACCACAAATTTCACAAGACCATCAGGTGATGTGCTGCTCTTCTTAATTACAGAACCCCTGCTAAGGAAAAGAAAAACTCCTCCAACTGCTTTGGAAAAAAAAAAAAAAAAGGCAGATAGGTTCATCAAATTAAGCTTCTCCACACATCACTTTCAAAATCCATCATTTGGGAGATGTCTGAAACGACATGAATCCAAATTAGCAAACAAACAATTATAAAGGGGCCATTTCACTTCAAAGTGGATCTCAGTTCCAAAGGAAAACACCTTTAGAAATGAAGTTAGATAGGCAAAGCCAAACAATCAGCAACTTCTCTTTTTTCACAAATTACAATAATGTGTTAATTCAACTGAATGGCTGGGCAAAATCCTCTAAGGCCACAAAGAGCAAAGTTAGGAAAGATGAAGATTTTAACACATCCTACGTGTTATCAAAGATTTCTCCTCTAGGTTGAGAAAATTTATTCTAAAACAGAGCTGGAACAGAATTATTAAAAAGAAAGGAGGGGTGGGAAGGTGGAAGGAGGGAGAAGAGGGGGAGAAGGGGGAGGGGGAGAGAAAGCCTTATGGCTAAGAAGATTCTATTTATACAATTATATTTCCAAAGTTGTTTTGAGATTTGAGACGTTTTTCACCCTTTCCCTTCACAACGACTATGAAGAACCTTATAAAATCCAAATAGTAAACAGATGAAAGGCTTGGCCCTAATACAATTCAAGCATGTCCAATCTGCAAGGAATTCAAAAACAAAAGAGTCATTTCATGAAACAAATAGGGAGAGGTTGCATAACCCCACAGGGTCCTCTGGCCTTTATAGAAGCCAAATTCAACATGCGGTTCTCTTTGGCCATCTATACTTTAGCCAAGCCATTTAAAAATATTTCTTCTAACACAATTTGGCTACAGAAAGGGCCCAAAGAATGCATATCAAAGAAGGAAGTCTAAATTGGTCCTAAGGTATATAATTTGGAATAAGTTCATTAATTTAGAAGCCAAAAAGGCCCACCTGCTCCAGAGGATTTGTTATATTTACTACATGTGCAACCAATTAATTCTCTTCAGCATTAACTACTGTAATACTATCTAGCTTTTTTAAAAAATTTTTTAAGTACAAAATTCAGTATTTTCTGGAGATTATTTATGAGAGACAACTAGACCTCCCTCTAACTATAAGAGATCGAGGTGTATGTATGCTTTCATCTTCTCCTTTAACTATGGTCTTTAACTGAAGAAATCTGATGACTGTTTACATGGACCCATGCTCCTTGCCTAGCAATATTGGCAAGAAGTAAGTTCTCTCTTCTTCTAAAGTTATCAAAATAAGCCCATTTCTGTGTAAATGTTAAGATTCTAACTAAACTAAATGGAACAAAGGATGGGCAGGAAGTTCTCAGCTTTAAATGTTCATTCCAAAATTCATGACACAAGGAAAAAGTAAAACCACACAGGCAGACAAAACAAGGGAAAGTTAGACAGAATGTCTGCCTTAACAGAATTTCCTGGCTCTCAATGATTTGTGTCAGAATTCAGAAGATTAACAAGCAATAACACCTGTTTTACCCACTAAAACACTGTAAAAACATACATAAGCATTTGAAGCAAGAATCTCATACCACAAAGTAAAAGTTTTAAGATGCTAGCCAGAATGGTAGAAATATTTTTTAAAGTCACCCACAGAGAGATGGGCTCTAAGGGCACATACACAAAGGCAATCTGCTCAAAATCAAACTCCTTTTATAGAGTAAAATGAAGCCCATGAATTGCTTTAAGGTATTCTCCTTTTCTAAACTGCAATTCTAATTTCCCTGAAGATCTTTTCTAGGGAGAAAAATAATCTTACTCTAAGGTTTCAAAACCATATACTATCAACTGTTGATTTAAAATTTAAATCCAAACACCTCTTCTTCCCTCCATCATCAGTATAAAGCCTAATCCTATCCATATACAACAGTCACCAGAAGAATAACTCTGGTTTACTCTAGGAACGAATATTTAGAATAAAACTTCTTTTGAAGGCACTTATAAAAATGTTTCTTTCACAGTTTGTAATGTTCATTACTTTTTTAAAAAGACCACCTTACATGTTTACCTTATATGACTTCCAACTTCACATACCATTTGCACTGAAATGAAACAGTAGATTGCACTCAAGATGTGCATTTTTTTAAAGTCATGGTAAATATTTCTATGCATTTCATTCCACTTTCCCCCTCATCTTCTTAAACTATATTTAAAATAAAACTATGTAAAAACTCACCAAGTCAAGTCAGTAGTAGGAAGATGAATGGGTCTGGTCTAACAGGAAATCTCTGTTGGGAATAGAGATGATGAATCAAACTTAACTAGATTCTGAATCTCATACAAGTCCTTACTTTGGGTATTCTAAAATGGGAAAATCTTACAAAAGCAAGTGAAACATTTGCTAGGATTTACAAGTCAAAATTACCATTCTTATATCTATAGTCCTGAGTGTTCTATTTTTTAGTCATCTTTCAAAAAGATAATACTTAGAAAATAAAGTCAGAAAAATCCAAGCTAATTCTTCATGAACTGGCTTATGAATGTAGGAAAAATGAAATAAGTGGCTTGCTCCACATCAACAAGAGAGGAGTGATCACTTTTGTTTGCCAGCTACCTCACAAATACTGAAAGGATTACTATGAAGTTTTTATGTAGTTTTTAAAAAGTGCTATGTGGGTCAATTACACCAAAGGAAGATGGATTTAAATGACACTGAGGTTCCTGTTGAAGATTGGTGACATAACTTGGCTAAACACCACCATTATACCACCCTAATAATCTACCGTATCCTTCAAAGTGACTCGAAACAGAAACAGGAATAAGAATGGTTGCATGGCTTCCAAGAGCCTCATGTAGGCATAAAACTCTGGTGCTATCTTCCCTTTTGCAGGAAAATGAAGTACTGCATATGTAATTCTTTAAAAACCAAATCTTTTCCTGAAAATGTAAACACTTTTTTTAACTGTTACACCGGTACAAATAAGCTTCTCTTATTTTGGTAAATCAAACCTGGTTACTACCAGTAATAGAATGAGCTCTCACCAAAAACTGTCTTAAACTACTGATGTTAAAACAGCACAGTCATGATTAGAAGATTTAAGAGCAAGAGTCAGGCTGAATTCATTTCATAAATATTTACTGAACACCAACTGTGCAAGGCATTCTTTGAGGTGTAGTGGTTAAAAACAAACAAACAAAAGGACAAGGTTCCTGATCCTCTGAGGGTATAGACATGTAATAAGCCTTTAAGACTTTATAGGTAACTACTCCTTAGGCAGAAGTTATCAACAAACTTTAACAAATAAAAATTCTCTGAATACCTGTGATTCTTAAAGCTAAAACCAATGCTTTTAGTCCTTTACTCTTTCTCTTTTTTTAAGTTTAAGGTTTTGGTTTCTCAGTAAATTTGCTACAATGAACATTTTTAGGCCCAAAGAATTAGCAAAATTTAAAGAGTCTAACAATACTGGTAAGGACTAGGAGGAATAAGGACACTCTCACACTCTTGGCAGGAGACAAATTAGTAACAGCTTTGTAAAAACAGTTTATTATCTAATAAAACTAAATATCCAGCAATTTCACCCCCATATATGGCCCAAAGAAACTCCTCCTGCACTTTTCTGTGAGCACACATAAAAAAAATGTTCATAGCAGCAGTGTTCATAATAGCCAAAAACATCATCAACAGTAGAATGGCTACATAAATTGTGGTATATTCATATAATAGGATGCTATATGGCAATGAAAATAAACTACAGTTCTATAGAACAACATGGATGAAAGTTACAAACATACTGTTAGGTTCTGAAAGAAGACACAAAAGAACACTTACAGTATTATTCCATTTATATAAAGTTCAAAAGATGACAAAATTAAACTATGGTTTGCAATGAAACATAGATGATAAAATCACAAAGTAAGGATATAATTATAATGTCAGACTAGTCAGACCTCTGAACAAAAAGTATGGGTTATAAGCTAGGAGAGAGACATACACAGCAAGCTTCTTCAGGGTGCTACCAATGACATATTTCTAGTTCCTACTGATGGTTATATAAGTATTGTTTTTTATAATTAATCTTTATACAGTTATGTTTTGTGTATTTTCATTATATTTCATAATGAAAATGTTCAAAACATGTTAAAATAATCCAACAGAGTGTACATACAGTGGACCCTTGAACAACATGGTTTTGAACCACATGGGCCCACTTATATATGAATTTTTTTTCAATAAATACTGTAAATGTATTTTTTCTCCTTTTATGATTTTAACATTTTCTTTTCTCTTACTTTAGTGTAAGAATAGAGTAAATAATACACATAACATATAAAATATACATTCACCAACTGTTATTAGTAAGGCTTCCAGTCAATAGTTGGCTATTAGTAGTTCAATTTTGGTGGAGTCAAAGTTATACATGGATTTTCAAATGCATGGGGAGGGGGGATGAGTGCCCCTAAACCCTGCATTGTTTAAGGGTCAACTTTGTGTGTGTATAAATTTTATTTATATATTTATCTACTAAATATATTTATTTAATACTTATTATAAGTATATCTATTTATTTCCTCCAAAATCTAAAAGTAAATAAAATGTCTTGTACAATACACCCTTCATTTCCCCCCACAATACAATTCAGGATGAGAACTGAGTAACAGAGCAGTGCCACTCAGAAAAGAACACCTACAGACAGGCTTTCTTACTATACTTCCTTTAAGTTTATATGTAATACATACCTAAGATCAGTATTTCAGGAAAATTTTCAATACTGACAAACATTTAAATCTATGTAGGTATGACTACTCACCAGGAGCCATTACTGAATGCCCAAAGTATTATAAGAAATAAAAGCTTCTGAAAAAGCAAAGCCAGGATACAAGTATTTTTTGGTATTACCATTTTAGTTTAATCATGGCCTCTGATGAAACCTCCAATGACTTCCCATTTCACTCTGAGTAAAAGCCAAAATCCTGACATGGCTGAAAGGCCCAGCACAATCTGGACGTCATTACCTCTCCAGCCTCATCTACAATTACATTCTCTTGAGCTCACTATGTTCCAGCCACACTGCCCTTCTTTGCTCTTGTTCTTCAAACAGAACAGGCTCGTTTCTACCTCAAGGCTTTGTACTTGACCTTTTCTCTACAACTCTTCCCTGATATATTCTCTTGGCACACTCCCTCACCATTGTTGGGTCTTTCCTTAACGGGCATGATCTCTGTGACACCTATCCTGACACCCTTAAAAATGTAATCCCCACCCCTATAGCCCCAATTGCATTTCTCCTTCATTATTTTTTTCTATAGCACTTAAAGTCATATACCTTACTGTAGCTGGAATGGGAGGTCAACTCTTGTCTGTTTTGTTGCTGTACCCATCAGTGTCTGGCACGTGGAAGGCCAGAACTAAATACTTATTTAATAAATGATTGAATAATTTACTTTTCTTTTGGATTTCTATCCTTGAAAAATTAAACAGTAACTCCATACATTCAAAAAAACAATGTTTCCCCTTTCTATATGTCAAATTTAATAACAAAGTTTGTTTTACTAACAAGTTTCAGGTTTATGTTCTTATTAACATTAATAAGCCACAGGTAAGACTTAAATGAAGTTGACACAAACAAAATTGTATTTTCCCCTAACAAGTGTGCAGTGCCTGTTTTAAAAACAATGCTGGGAAAGCCCAGACAGACAAGAACTCTCCTGAATTGCTGGTGCAGGCACATACTGGCACTGCCTGACATGAGATGCAGCATGAAGACTGACTGATTGCTTCCTTTACCTATACTTTTTGTTATTTTTAATTTTTAAAAAAATAAGCATGTTTTACTTTTATAGTCAGAAAAAAGGTGTGTGTTTTTTAATTTTGCAAACAAGATATAACTTCAAGAAGTTCTTTCTCTTTTGACTAACACAAACAGTAAAGGCTTTGGTGTACATCTAGATGAAACAGCCCAAGGAAACTATAGTTAGGAAAAAAAAATTATTTTTGACTTAGGAAGTAAAATTTTTATGAAGCATTTCCACAGAAGAAGGGAAAGCAAAACGCCATGGTGTTAGTAGTCCATATAAAAACATAATTTTATTCTAAAGAAAGATTTAAAATTTCACTGATGTGATGAAGTGCACGTAAGGACCTCCATTCAAACTTAGTGATTACAATGGCAGAGGGAAGATAATTCACAAAACAAAGCCTATGGGGTGACATGGCAGATACTTCTGAGCACACAGGTAGAGCTTATTCTTTTGATGGAATACTTCACCCAAGTTAAAGTCGGAGTAAGCCTAGATCCAAAGGTTACTTTCCAACCACAATACTTGTGACCTGAACTATATCCTAAGACATAATAAATCTGAGAGAAAATACACAACCATCTCATGTTCTACCGTTATATTTATTACTAAGATTTCCATTTTGTTTTATCAATTGTCTTTAAAAATACACTGCACATAAATTCTTCTCAAATTCTTAAGATAGTTGATATATTCATGAAGTAAATACATCATGAATATATACTCATATATGAGGTGGCTGCCTACCCTAGTTAAGGAATTACTACTCAAATACTTGCAGCAGGCGGAGTGTATTATTAGAGAAGGGAAACAGTTTTCATTTGTGACATTTCAGCATTCCAACTGCTCAAAGCTCTGAATAGGATCCATGTTTGGGGGGGGGGGG